CTGCCCAGGCAGCCATCCCAGCCCCGGGGATCCCAGAGGGGAGGGCCCCCCCACGGACTCACCGCAGTACGGAGAGGCTTCTGGCGCCAATGTCCTGGCAGCCGTGCTGGATGCCAGCAATCAGGTATGGCACGAACTTGTGGATGGAGCCCTTGTCCTGGATGGAGCCGGAAACGCCCTGCGCTACCTTCACCTTGTCCCCCTCGCTGCAAGGCAGGGCAGGGCAGGCGCTGGAGGGCAGCCGGTCAGGCCCCTGGCACTCTTGGCAAGCCAGCGCCCGCCCACCCCCGCCTGAGCCGGAGCCCCCGGCCCTGGCGAAGGCCCCTCCCGCTCCGCGGGGGCTCTTTGGGGGCAGCCCCCCCTTGCCCACCTGGCCGCCCCTCCCGCCCTCCCCCTCCCGCTGGAGGCCCAGCTGGCCTGGGAGAGCTGCCTCCGCCCTGGGGGCCGCTCCCCACTTCCTGCCACCCCCACCTGAAGTAGCGTTTCTGGCTGCCGCGGTTCTTCTCCATGGCGTCCAGGGAGCCCATCCCCCGATACTTCTTCAGCCGCACGCCGTCGGAGAAGAAATACTCCCCGGGGGCCTCCGTGGTGGCCGCCAGCAAGGAGCCCATCATGACTGGGGGGAGAAGAGGGGGCCGTAGGTCGGGCTGGGGGCCGCACCCAAGGGGGCCCGGGCACCGGGGGGGGAGCCAGGTCCAGCAGGGGTCCCTGGGGGGATGGCGGGGCAGGGCCAGCCCCCTGCTCTCAGGTCAGCCTGGAGGGGCTCTGGGGGGGGAAGCGGTGAGAAGCCCCACCGAGCTGTGCTGAGGATTTGGGGGGTGGGCCACGAAGGGAGGGGGGCAAAGAGCTCCGGTGGCCCAGAAGCTGAGATCCAAGGAGGTCCCCTAAACAGCCCCGCTTCCTGGTGGCCAGGATGCCCGCAACGCCCGTTGGCAGAACCCGAGAGAACGCACGTGTGCCCCCCGGACCTCCCTGTCGTGGAGCCCCAGGGCTCCTCACCTGTGGAGGCCCCCAGCGAGAGCGCCTTCACCACGTGGCCGACCGTCTGGATGCCACCATCTGCGATCACAGGAACCCCAAACCGGCGGGCATACTCTGCCACTTTGTAGACCGCGGTGCCCTGAGGCCGGCCGCACGCCATCACTGAGGGAGGGAGAGTCATGGGCAGGAAGGGCCCAGCGAGGGTCTGGACCGGCCCTCGGCCGCCCCAGAGAGCCAGGGGCTGCAGCCAGGGAAGCCCAGGCAGCCGCTCTGATCGGAGACCCAGGGAGGAAAAAAGCGGGGTGGCGTTGGCACTCTCCGGGCACAGCAGCGCCAGCCTTCCCAGCCCCTGGGACTTGGCGGCTGCTGCCCCTCCAGGCTCCACCCACAGAGCCCGGTGCCAGCAGCCCTGCCCAGCCCCGCCGACCGGCGGACCAGCAGGGAGGTAAAGGCCGGGGAAGGGCCAATCCGGGCTTTGCTGGGGGGGGGGGGGGAGTGCTAGGCAAAGGCCCCACCCCGGGGGTCCCAGCCGGGACTCACCTTCCTGCGTGATGCAGATCGACCCGCAGCCCATGCCCACGCGCAGGGCATCCACGCCAGCGTCAATCAGGTTCTTGGCCTGGGCAGCTGTCACCACTGGGCATCCCACAGGGCAGAAAGCGGGAGGGCCCCGTAAGGCCCCTGAGCAACCGAGGACCCCCTCCCCCCTGGGGCCCTCCGTCCACCCTAAGGCCCCCCTGCCCCCAAGCCCACTTTCCAGCCGGCCTGCCTGCCTCCCTCCGGCCGGAAGGAGCCAGGAAACGTCCATTCGGGAATTTCTGCGAAGTCATTGACTGCAGAGAGCCAAGAAGCTCCTGGGAGCCCCTTCCAGGAACAGCTGCGCACCAAAGCCAGACGCTCCACACCGAGATCCGAGCCTGGCCTCCTGCCCGTCCCCCTTGCCCCAAGGGCACCCAGTGGCCTCCGACACTTTGGGTCCCATCTAACCCGCCATCCCTCCATTCATCCTTCCTTCCTTCCTTCCTTCCTTCCCTC